TTAATGTGCCTTTGTTTAAAATAATTTTCCTTCGGCCTGAAGTATAACATTTAGAATTTGATGTGGTTACTCTGGTGGCAAATTCACTTTGTTCTTGGTTTTTGAAAATATCTTTTTTTTTTTCCTTCTTTCTTGAAGTGCAGTTTTGCTGGGCATAGAATTCCAGGTGGATTGTTATTTTGAAGATGTCTTCCCATGGTATCCTGATGTTTTTTGTTGCTGTGAAGTTAGCTTTTAGTTTGCAGCCCCATTGAGATTTGTCTTTCTTCTGACTGCTTTCAGTTTTCTTCTTGTATTTAACTTAATAGTTAAATACAAGAAGTATATTAAGTGAGGATTAAGCCAATTGTATTTTCCTACTTGTACTTTATTTAGCATCTTAGAGTTGTAAGTTGATATATCAGTATCAAATATAAATAAATATATATAAAAATATATAAAATTTTTATATTTTATTTAGAGACAGGGTCTCGCTAAATTGTCTCACCCTCCTGAGCTGCTGGGATTACAGGTGTGCACCACCATGTGAGGCCCTTTGTTAAAATTTTGAGACAGTCTAAGTTGCTCTTCAATCCTCCTGCCTCAACCTCCTGAGTAATTGGGATTACAGTTGTGCACTATTGAATCCAGTTTCAAGTCTGTATCCTTTGACCAATATTTCCTTGTGTCTCCCACAGTGGTCTTTGGCAATCACCCCTCTACTCTGTTTCTGTGAATTTAACTTATTAGATGACATGTACATGTGAGATCATGTAGTATTGGTTCTTCTGTGTATGTTTTCTTTCACTTAGTATAATGTCTTCCAAGTTTATCTGTGTTGTCACAAATGGCAGAACTTCTTTTCCTTTTTTGGTTGAATAATATTCCATTCTATATTAAGTACCATGGTTTCTTTATCCCTTCATCTGTTGATGCACACTTAGGTTGTTTCCATATCTTGGCTATTTTGAGTAATGCTGCAGTGAACAAAAGGATACAGATAACTCTTTGAGATATTGATTTCATTCCCTTTATAGATGCCCAGAAGGGGTTACTGGATTGTACGGTAGTTTTAACTTTTTTTAGGAGAACCCATATTCTTTTCCAAAATGGCTATATCAATCTACATTCCCCTATTATGACATTATTTCCAGTGGGATTTGCTGGAAACCTGGTAGAATGTTTTGTTCTATTAACTCTCCTGGATTTAATCTATAGATTCTACCTAACCCTGGGATGTGATTGCTGGTATCTCTGCTCAGTTTTTATTTATTTATATTTATTATTAGTTTTGGTTTTGGTTTTACTGTGAGCATTATATGTGTGAGTAAATGTAGCATATATATATGCCTGGCTTCCTATGGGTACCCTTGTGTCAGCATAGTTTAGTGGTCAGCCAGTGACCAGAGACTGCATTCACATACTTCAAACTTGGAAGGCATATATTCTCTGATGAATCTTTATGAGCTGAGACATACATTCAAAGTTCAAGGTATTTTAAACTCTGTCTTTACTTTTTTGCTAGGTCCTCTTAAGTTTCTTCTACATGTGTATTCAGCCTTCCATTTAGCTAATGATGTGTAGAGTCTTTTCATTGAGTTCTCTCAGATCTTTTCTGCATATAAACACAGATTTCTAGTTAACAAGGAATGTATAGAGATCTTGAATTCTCTAGTGTTTTCCCTGTGCAGGCTTCCAGTCATGTGGAGATATGTGAAAAGCTTCATCTTGATCCTTGATGGCTTTCTTATTTCTAAGATCTCCCTATTAAATTTCTGGCTAGTCCATTGGTTTGATGCTCACTTCTGTAAAACCATGATCTCAGGCCAACACAACTATGAGCTTTCCCCCATTTATTTCCTCCTAAGTTTGTAATTTTTTTTTTCTGACAGCATCACTAGGTCTGACTTTTTGCCATGTAGTCCAAATCAAGTTAGCTTGCCTTCTAACAGTATAGTTCCTGGTTTTCATTTTCCTCCCATTCTGGTAGTACTGTTATACCAACTGAGATATTTTATATGTATAGCTATGTACAATTTTGATGATTTTTGTATGTGGTTTTTTTAGGGGGGCATTTGATAATGTCATCACTTCACACTATCACTAAAAGTCTCACTTGTCCATTTTTATCAGGTTTGGAATTTTATTTTATACTACTTTCACTCTGCCAAGTTAGCCTATTTTGTGAATACTGGCTGAGGATGTGAGACTGTTGGAACAGAGATAAAGAACTTTATTAATACTTATAGCACAATAAATAGTAACTACTATCAGAATATTTTCATTGGTTCCTCTTGCCCACAAGTACTATAGGGGTGACATGAAGGGGCCTAAGTGATGCTATAGATGCAGTGATTTTGTGTCACCGTTGAGGAACAATGAGCTGAGGAATCTACCACTTTTATATCAAGTAGTTAGCCAGTCTCAAGGTTGCTCACTATAGACACTACCCCAAGAAATGGATAGTGGAGAGTGATTAGTCAGAGTTAGCATGCCCAGCAAGACATGCAGGAGCACTAGAAACCCTCAAAGACTAGCACATTCATCTGAATAATTAATTAGATGAAGTTGTTAACAGTATCCTAAATCTTTTGGATATGATCTGCAGTGATGTCTCCTTTTTATTTCTGGTATTGATATTTGTCTGTTCTCTCCTTCCTCCCTTTCTCCCTTTTTTTTTGAGTGATTTCACTGATGGTTTATTTAATTGGTCTTTTCAAGGAACCATCTTTTGTTCTTATTGAGCCTACTTTATGTTTTTCCTTTAATATCTGGTTTTATTTTATTAGTCATATTTTCATTATTTATTTAGATTCATTCTCTGTTTTTCATCCCCTAATTTCCTAATATGAACATTTAGTTAACTTGATTATCAGGTTTTGTTCCCCTAATACGTGCATTTAAGACTATAAATTTCCTTCTATTATGATTTTAGCCATGTCCCACAAGTTTTTTGATACATAGAATTTTTTTTAATTTAAATTCTAGATGGACACAACATCTTTATTTCATTTATTTAAATCTATGTGGTGCTAAAGATTGAAACCAGTACCTCACACATGCCAGGTGAGCACTCTACCACTGAGCCACAACTCCAGTCCCAATACATAGAATTTTTAATAATATTCACATCAAAATATTTTGACTTCTATTATGGTTTATATTTTGATCTATGCATTATTTAGAAATGTATTTTTTCCCAAAACTTAGGTGATTATTTTTATTTATCTTTTAGTTTTGATTTTCAGACTAATACGAAGATGGTCAGAGAATTTTATTATTTCAACCTTTAAACTCCCCCTCACACACACACTTTTAGTACCCAGTGTTGAACCCAAGGGAGCTCCACCACTGAGCTACATCCTCAGGCACTTCTCCTTCCTCTTTTAAATTTACTTATTTTGAGACAGATTCTCACTATTTTGCCCCTACTTGCCTCAAACTTGTAATTCTCCTGCCTCTGTTTCCCAAGCAGTTGGGATTATAGACATATACCATCATGCCGTGTTCAACCTTTCACATTTTGGCAAACTTGCACTGTGGCCCAACACATGACCTGGCTTTGTTAATGTGTCTTTGAATATGTATTTTGAAATTGTATTGGGTGCCATAATCTATGTATGTCAGTCCTTACTGATTTGTGTGTGTGTGTGATGAGACTCTGAAATATCCAGGGAAATTATAAACTGAAGAGGACAGAGGATTGAGACCTTGAAAACAAGAGCATTTGATGCAAAAAGGTTGCAAGGGTGTGAAGCCATTGGAAAAATACTTAACATATCAGAGAGCTGTCTTTTCCCTGGTTCAATTAGCTCTCCCCACTGATTCTGCTTTCATCCATTTATGAAGTAGATGCATCTGAAATTGTCTTACTCGTTTATATGTCTTTCTGATTCCCAGATCAGACTATAAAATCACCATTAGTACTGGTTCAACATTTCTCTTGTTCACACCATATCCCTAGTGTTTAGAGAAAGCAGTCTAAATGTTTGTGGCATAAGTGGTGGATTTTTTTGAAAACTGGAGAGAAAATATTATGCAATTAAATTTGGAGCCAATTTAATATTTTCTTGGTACAACACATGCAATTGTTATGAGGAACAATGCAAAATTTAGATCAAGTTAGAAGAGAAAATGGAACAGCTAAAGTCAATATACCTTGACATTAGTTCTGGTTCATTTATGCCCTTGACATAAGTGGTGAATGGGGAAGTTCATGTTTATTTAATCTGTCATCAGTGGTATTTTAATGAAAAAGTTTGAGAAACCCTGATTTTAAGGTTTTCCAGAGAAAAGGGAATACTCTGAGGAACTTGAAATAGAAGAATTTTAATAAGAGCAATAGGTGAAGTGGGGTTGGCAACTTCAGGGAAATAATTAGAAGAGGCAATGGTCAATTGCCAGAGGAAATAAGGGCAACAAAAGTATCAGTTGGATTTAGTAACAAGAGGCCATTGTTTATTAGAACAGTCTTGGGGGAATTGTTGGGAGGTATAGTAAGAAGAAACAACTGTCAGAGGATAACAAATGGGTTGACATGGTACTTAATATGATATCTCACACAGCTGCATTTAGCTAAGTAATTACTTTCTACCAGTGCCTGCCTTCAGTGGTCCACCATGTTGGCTGGGAGAAACTCTGAGCTCTCTCTGTAGTATACCTCAGACCCAAGTATGGACTGTCCAGTTCAATTTACTACTGGCCAGGAGCGGGGGGTGGCCCTCCTCTGAGTTTTGGTAAATGTTTCTCTCCTTAGGCAGAGAGTAGGAATTGCCTGAAAATTAAAAGAGGAGGAGAGATTTGTGAACTGAGCTTCTAGGGTATGACTAAGATTGGGACTCTGAAGTAGCAATAGTAAAAAGATTTTGACAGTGTAATACTTATGTATATTAATTTTTTTATTCTCAGTTAATATTCACTGGAGTTTTAATTGGCTTTGATTGTGGAAAACCCGAAATGACCCCCCGCCAAAAAAAAAAAACAAAAAACCCTTTCTTGGGGTAGGGAGAGGTTGTGGGTTAGGGGCTGTGTACCCCATCAGGGATGTAGTAAGGCAGCAGTAGAGCCCAAAAGCGACAGGAAACCATCAAGGGACTGACTGTCTTGGGGAACCAAGAGAATCTACGGTTTATTGGGTCTGCAAGGAACACACAGTGGAATTCATTTCCAAATTTCCTCAAGCCTCTAAGCTGGAATTTAGGGAGCTTAAAACAAGAAAAAATAGGGGAAGCACGGAGAAACTTCTTATTTGCCTGGGTGACAGTTCCCCCATAGAATTTCCTCCTCTCCGCCCATTTTGGTTAGCGACTTCCTTTGGCGGAGAGTGATCTGGCCACTTTAACACTGGTTGACAGCGGCCGCAAGACAGATCGTGGGCTAAATGTGCTGTGGCCACACGGAGCCCCGAGTGCCCCTACCCGATCTGGCGAGCAGCAGAGACCTCAAAAGGTTACTTAATCAGTGCTTCTCCAAGAGCCTGGGGACTCTGCAGTCCCAGACTTCCATGCGACCGCCTTGGGCGCGGTAGATAACAGGTGGCAGTGACTTTTTGAGACCAGATTTGCGACCCTCGTGACCTGGACAACCCCTCTCTCAGGACCCTTAGGGCAAGTCGCACAACTGCTGGATTCACAGGTAAGGGAGGAAGATAAAAGAGCCCAGGGCTGGTAGCACAGCTCCGTCTTGCTATGCAAGTTCAGGCGCTTGGGCGGGAGCCGCTGCCGTGGTGGGATACGGTAAGGTTCTGGGTCATAATGTGGGAAAGTGCTGTGCTGCACAGGCTTTAGGGCGTGGGCTGGCCGAGCGCCTCCTTTCTGTGGGTTGCTTTACCATGATGGGAAAACCCATCCAACTGCGCCTTTGTTTCATTTTGACTAGAAAACTTATTTTTCGAAAGAAACCGCAGAACCATAGGCAAATAGTCCAGGGTCATAAATAGCTTAGAGATTTGGTGTGAGCCTCAGCCAGGCTCAGAGCCAGTGCGGAAGATTTTGATTTGGGTTTTATTTGGCTTCGTGTCCATAATTTGAATAAAAATAATTTGATCTGGTAATATTGAACTGATTTTCAGTATTAGTTATGATCTCTTGACATCAGAGTTACCTGGCACGGTGGTGCACACTTGTAAACCCAGACACTAGAAAGACTGAGACAGCCTGAACAACTTAGCAAGACACCATCTCAAAAAAAAAAAAAAAAAAGGTGTTTGTGGGGGCACTTTGGCAGAGCATTCCAAGATACTGGGGCTTTACCACCAACTTTCTCAAAGTTAGAGTTTAAACATGTGACCCTTCCATTTTAACACTTTAGTATGTTCAACATAAAATCTTATTTAAGTCAGAAAATAGATGAGCAAATCTAGAATAATGATTTACCTACATTTGACGCAAATAAGGTAAATATTACTGGTTATTACCATTTAACATTTAATATTAAATGTTAAATGTTACTCAACTTCATGAGTCTTAGTAGAAATCATATTGTTAAATCATTAATACCTCATCTATTGAGTCATTTGTTTGTCATGCTCCTGTTTTGATTCAATTAACAACTATATGCTATTATATCTTTCACATCCCCTTCTTCATCCCTCTCCACTTCTTTGCTTCCTTTTATTATTTCCTCTTCTCCACTTACTCCTCCTCCCTCCCATCTCAGGCTGTTTTCCTTGTCCCCTACTTCTCATGAGTGACCATCATGTGAAACCTGTGTCTGGATAGTTTTCATTTTTCATGACACCTCACTCTCATTTGACAGAGTTGACCACTCCTCCTCTTTAATATTCTTCTTCACTAACAGTCTTTCTTCTTCACCTGGCTTCCAGGTCACCAAATTCTCATGCATTTCCCTCTTCCTCATTTTGATCATCCCTGTCTCCAGGCTTTTTAACCACAAAATGTTAGAGTGCCATGAGGTTCAGTTCTTGGCCCTATTCTTTTTCTATACATATTTTTCCCCCAAGGTGGTTTCTGTCCTAGATCATATTCTGTGGCCATAAATAGCATTGATAAGCTGATGACTTCCAAATTTTTACCTCTAGATTTAGTTCTCAGTGTTCCAATATGCATGTATCCAGCTCTTTTTTCAACATCTCCACTTGGAAGTCTTATGGTTGTTTAAATTTAATATGTACATACACAATTATTGATACCACACCCACTTAGTCCTCTTTTGTGCTTTTTTCTCAGTAATCTTCCTTATTCAGTTAAAATTACTGCCATTCAAGTGGGCTGAAACAATTGGAATCAATCATTCCTGATTTTTCTTTTTAGGAATTATTCTTGACTCTTCTTTTTACTCAGACTCTACATTTAAGCATCCAAAAAATTCTATGGGCTGTACCTTGAAAAAGATACCTCAAATCTGATTATACCACTGTCCCTAAGCTAAGCCACAGTAGTAAAGTCTTTATTTCTGCCCTTCTTGCTCTATAGTCTTTCTCCAAGCAACAGTAATTTTTTTTCAGATACATCAGAACTTTCACTTCCCTTCAAAACCTTCTGGCTTCTCTTCAGAATTATAAAAACCAAATACTTACAATGGCTTTGAAGCCCTGAGTGATCTAGCCCCTGACTAGTCTGATCTCATCTCCTAACTTCCCTGTTGCCCACTCCACTGTAGAGACTCTGGTCTTGCTGTTGTTCCCTTTGCCTTCAGGGGGTCTCTGCAAGACCATTGCAGACTGAACTCCCTCATTTCTCTCCTTTACATGCTGCCTCAGTACTCATTGTCCTGTTAGAACAAGATCCTTTTTGCTACTGTCCCTGTGGAATGGGCTGATATTAGATATTGTGCTACTCTATAATACAGTAGTCCTCCTTTATCTGAAGAATATGGTCCAGGACCTCCAATGGATGCATGAAACTGGATAAAAAACCAACCCTATATATCATGAGATTTTTCCTATACATACATATCTATGATAAAGTGTATATTAGACATAGTAAGAAATCACAATAATAACTAATAATAAAATAGAACAATAACAATATATTATAATATGGAGTAGTGATCACCAGCATTACTAACTAGTCTTGTGCTTTGGGCTCAATAATAAGTAAAATAAGGGTTACCTGAACAAAAATCCTGCAATACCATGACAGTTGATCTGATACCCTAGATAGATACTAAGTGATCAACAGGAAGGTAGTATTTGTAGCTTAGATACACTGGACAAAAGGATAATTTATGTCTTAAGTTAGATTGAGTTGAACAGAACAAAACAGCAAGCATTTTAAAGCTCATGGATTATTTATTTCTATAATTTTTTATTTAATATTTTTGGTCTGCATTTGACCCCATGTAATTGAAACCAGGGAAAGAAAAATTGTAGAAAAGGGGGAACATGTTTTACGTGAAGCATGTATATTACACGAAATGTATGACATCTTTAAGGCATTGTTGGTTGCTAACGCTCTCTGATATTAAAAATGCACAGCCAACTATTTCTTCAATGTTATTTTGAACAATTTGCCTTTAAATTTTGTATTCTTATAAAATCCCTTCCTGGTTTTGAGAAGATTTGCCATTTATACCAGTTCTCATTTCTCCTTTTTAAATACAGAAAATGAAAGGAAAATATTATTCAGTTTACCAGAAAGAATATGCAGTCATTTTTTTGAAGGCTGTTGGGTAACCTGGAGCTTCATAGCTACTAAGCAAAGAGAGACTAGGTCCTCAAGATGGAAAAGCAGGTGCCCAAGTAATATTAGTTATATATTTTTTGTTTTTCAATCTGACAGGAGCAGTTTTTTAATTAAGCATTTACTTGCTTATGTTAGATATTATGGAGATGAAAGTACTGTCCCATAGTTATTATAATTATTTAAAATATTGGAGGAGCTCTATTTGGCTTAGAATTCACAAACTCATGTTCTTAGAAAGTTTGCGTATATATTAAAAACAGATGAAATAGAGTTAAATCTGAAGATTGGATGAACCTATTTGAAATTTATACATATGGCATATAAAGAAGATACTATCTGAGTGTCAAGTTAACATGCCCTATATTTAAAAGTTCAAGCTGAAAAGTATTTTTTTATTTACTAAAAGCTCATTTTTTCAGGCTGAAAAATCATTGTAGAAAAAGGTGTATTTATATATGTATATGTGTGAGAAGAGTATATAAACATTATTCATACACATGTGAACAAAGGAAAAATATAAATTTATATATATTTATAATAATATATATATATATATATTCCACAGAAAATTAATGCTAACTGAGGATTGAACTCAGAGTTGCTTTATCACTGAGCCACATTCCCAGCCCTTTTAATTTTTATTTTGAGATAGGATCTCACTAAATCTCCAAGTTACTAAGGCTGGTCTCAAGTTTGTGATCCTCCTGCCTCAGCCTCCTAAGTTGCTGGGATCATAGGCATTCACCCCTGCACCCAGCTAATGCTAACTTTTTGGTATACTTTTTTTCTATCTAATTTATTTTTCTATCTATTTTATTACCCTATTTTGTTTTACAAAAGTTAAATAATATATATACTATTTTGTAGTCTGCTTTTTCACATATTACTCATGGAAACATTTACTCATGTCATTAAAATTATTTACAACATTCTTAAATATTTCTAATGATTTAACAAGATTTGATCATATGAATATGAAATAGTTTATGTTGTCATTCCCAAGTTTGGGAGTATTTTAATTGATTACCTCCAATAGAATTTTGGCTAGTCTGTGATACCATGTGTAAGATCTTTTATGATAAAAAAATATAGTCATATAACTCATATTTCAAACATGTAATAAAAAGTCTCCATAGATCCTGTGACAAAATGCTGAGTCGGTATGAGAAATTGCCTGGGGATGGGAAGGCCCGTAAAGACCCCTGTGCAGAGGGCTGGAGGAGTAAAGGGGAGTGTAGCAGGATATGAGCCAGGTCATGCAGATCACTGTTTGTCTTCTTAGTACATTTTGATTCGAAGCACAATAGGAAGCAAGGTTGAATTGGCAGTAACTTGATCAGATGTATGTTTAGAAAGACCAGTTTGATTGAAGAATGGATTAGACTGACCAAAAGTTGGAGACCTATTAGGAGGCAGTACAGTTGACCAGGGGAGAGATGTTGATCTAGAATGAAGATGTGGTAGAGATGGAAAGTGGAAAAATTTTTGAGATTGAACTTGGTGATTTCTTGGATGTGAAGGTGTAGGAGAAGTGAGAAGTGTCAAGGACAGCTCAGGGTTTTTTTTCACAACCAAGCAAACAATGGTGCCATTTATCATGATGAAGGAGTCAGAGAAAATGAGGTGGAAACCACCTCCCAGGTCAGCAAGGAAAACAAGGTGAGTGCTGTAAACAGGATATTTTGAGAATACAGTGCTGTCTATATTTTGGAAGATTTGAACAGGATATTTTGATAATATGGAGGAGGAGTGCTTAATTCAACTTGGAAGGTGAAAGGAAATGCTTTCTGACAAATAGAATCCTTGGATGGTATCCTTAAAAAGGGAACTATTCTTGCAGATAGTGGGGAATTGCATATTCTGAGCAGGTGGGCACAGAAACAAGAAATGACATTTTAGGGAACTGAAGATAGTTGGATATTCTAGCTCCACAGACTAGTGTAGTAGGAGCAGATGTTATAGATAAAAGCAGAGATGAGATCATAGAGG